ACACTTTGAAGTTCTGCTAACAGTTTTAACACTTTTAACACCAACTGCTAACTACCCGGGGGTAAAACTTACTTCATCACAGCTTTCTCCGAGCTCTGCCATCCTATTGCATCAGTCTCTTCCAACCCTGGTGCTTACCCAACACCATATTTAAATGGGATCTGCTGTCAACTATGGCTAATTTTTTCCTGAAACAGTCAATCTGTCTCCTGTTCTTAAATCAGCTAGCGCACCCTACAAAAATTGAAACACAGTATTGAATATGGCCAGTCTTATCATTAGTCTAACTGTAATGAGTGTAATTTTTTATTTAATATAGTGCTTGCAGTTGGTTCCTGAAAAACGATATTTTGTCATAAGCTGTAAGTTACCTGTTATTCAAAATTGTCTGTAATTCACTACATTAAATTGTTTCAATATTTATTAAAAGGCCAATGCTCCTCAAAGAATGTGTGGAAGATTTTTTGGTTAAAATTTTAATTTTGATTAAAAAGTTAAATTTATGCAAGCAGTGGTTTTCAGAAAGGTTAAGGAAAATATATGTTGTGAAAAAAAATTATTCATGGATTTAGAAATGTTTTTACAACACAATATTTTAAAATTCCATTTTCTATGAACATTAGGAGGTTTTCTCATATGATCATGAATTTTTTCCCTAATGTTTGTTCATATTCATCAACTAAACCCCATACTAGAATATTAAATACTATTTGATCCCCTAAAGGATATATTATATTTAAAATTTTTTTCCATGTTCTTAGTCTATGAGTGAAATTTTTTTGATTTAAAAATTTTAGCATTGTCAGTCCAAAGTACTTTCATGTAGAGTTTAGACTAGCTTTTTACTATCATTTGGAAAATTATCTTCCATTTTCAATATATTTTTTTTTACCCTTGTTTATATAAAAATGAATTACATGTTTCTTTGGACATTAGCAGAACTTTCCTACTGAAGGTTTTCTCTTTTAAAAATGTATGTGTGTTGAGAGGCAGAGAGAAAGGGGGTACACAAGAATCTTTGGTCCATTCGCCAAGTGCCCACATTGTCTGGGGCTGAGCCAAAGCAGAGGGAGCTCATTCCAACCCTCCCACAGGTTACCCATCACTGCTGCCTCCAGGCTGCATCTGAGAGCACCGCTGGCACCTGAACCTAGGACCTCTGATGGGGGGATGAGAATATCCCGACCAGCATCTTCGTTGCCAGGCCGCGTGCTCAGCTCTGTGTCTGCATTTACTGATAAGCGTTTGAAAGCATTTTCTGTTCCTTCGAGGGCTTTCGTCTGTACACTTAAATACTTAGTCTGTAACCCAAGGTTGATTATTTGTGTTTTCCTTTCATCCATATTATCTAGTTTATTCAGGTTTAGCTAGCAGAATGTTACATATAACTAAAAAATTTTAAATACATTTCTGTCTGTGATGCTACCTTCCTCCTTTGTAAATTCTTGAGGTGATTCATTTCTGCTCTTGGCCCCAATTCCTCCTTCCCCTCCCTCCTTTTCTTCCTCTTAGCTTTTTAATTCTGAATTTTAATTATGTTTTTGATATTATCTGTCATCGTTTTTGCCTTCATTGGATTTTGTCTTAGATTTTAGTCAGTCTCTTGGGTTTGCAAGTTACACTACCTAAGTACACTCTTTTTATTTAGTAATAAGATTATTTTGGTTTGTTCATTAATGTAATGCGAATGTACTAATTTCACACTGCATACAATTTAAACAGTTTTTTGCAAGTTGCACAAGAAGTGTTCTATTCTGTTTTTGGTCCTATGTCTGGGCGTTTCCTATGTAAAGGTTACAATGAGAATTTAAAGGGCCAAAAATAAATACCATATAACTCATTAAGTAAATTTTTCTGTGACGTTTATATGTCAGGTGACTTAGTCAACTGACTCATTTTGTTTGTAATGACTTTGAGTTCCTGCATCCACTGACCAATTTGAATACTTCCACACTCTGCCGTTGGACCCTGAATTATTTAAAACCATATCAGTGTATTCTAAACATACTCAATGAATTATCTAGTGCTCCGGGAGACAGATCTTGGAGTCTGACTTCTTAAATTCAACCTCTGGCTTTACATTTGGTTGTTAAATGCGATCTACCTAAGTATATCCTTGATTGAATTACTAGATTTTGTGTGTTTTGTAACTTGTAGTGTGGGCCCAGAATTTCAATTTTTAAATAGCTGTTGTGAGGATTAAATGAATTCATGTATGAAAAACACCTTGAAGAACATCGTAACACTTAGTAATTACAGTATGTTTATTTATAGATGACAGATGTATTGAATGATTTTCAGGATGTGTTTAGGAAAAGAACCTGCTGTGCAAACGGAAGTCTGAAACTTAGGTTTCTGCTGGAGCGGAAGTGTAAGCCAGTGAGCACTGGCGGATAATTGTCATCTTATTTATTCCGTTACCTTTCCCAACAAACTCAGACTCCAGTTGACACTTGCAGAACGGGGTCTTTTTCATATCCATAGTTATTCGTTGGCGAGGCTTCACCCCACCGTCAGTCTCGATAATTCATGGAGTAGATTGAATTGGCAGGGTTTTGGTTCGTATGAACTAGAAACAGCCTGTTTTGCAGGGTTGGTTTATTTTTGTTGAAGCGAGCTGGGTGTCTGACAATTCTGTTTACCATTGAATTTATTCCTTTGGTTATACTCCTTACATTTCTGAGGAGTAAGAAACCAACCCTCACGTCCTCACAGTTTTTAAATTCCCACATGAGAATGAAAATTTTGTCTACAACACCAGACTTGTTTGTTAAACATAAAAGAACATAAATCCCCCACGGGTCCCCAGGGCTATGTTAGCGAAGGGGAGTGATCATTATAAACCACTTAGTGCCGTGTGCTGTGTATCGTGTTGCCTTGAGAAAGTGCTGTTGGATTGGCTCGTGAAGCAGGCTTAGTAAATCCTTTAAATGCTGATGTGCGTAATTGTGCCCGTTGGAAATTAATACGGGAGAGCATATTATAGGATCGCCCTGTCTCCAGAATCGTCACCAAGGCATAGCATTTTAGGGTGGTTGTGTTTTATGATTTTGCTTTTATCTGCCCAATGTTGCTTGGTTTTACTGTCTCCCTTCATTGGCTCTGTCCTATGGATTTTTCTCTTTTTTTTTTTTGGGTCATTGTTTTTTCTCTTCATTTTCTTAATGTTTTCAGCTGCGTCAGAGGATATCCACCAACCAAATTCTGCTATGAATCGCAGATTCTGCAAACGGTATTGTTAGGAAAAAGAAAAAAAGAAAAAGTTCAAATTCCTAGGGTAGATGATAGGATTTAACGTGTGATTTTTTTTTTTCTCACTTTCACTTAACCCATTCTTGATGAAGTTAAAAAGAAATGGTAAAATCAGGCGACTTTTGTTTTTGTTTTTATTATTTTGAAGATAAAATATTAAAGCATGGGAAGCCATTCCAGGTAGATCTTCAGTTGGTTGGCTTTACAAGATCTTGAATATGAATTCAATTTAAAAATTCTATTTTTATCAAATAGTCGTTTTATCTGTGCACAAGGAGTCCAGCAAGCAGTTTATAGCAAAATCAGGGATTCGTAATTACCTAGAGCTGGGCACAAACAGAATTCTCTGAGTTGAAATTTTCTTTCACGTGTTAATGTGGTTTAAACATTTTTCATCTGATAAACAAGCTATTTTTGAAATGCCTACTAAAGTCCGCTCTACCTCAAACTTTCCCCCACGGCTTCTGTATCTAGCACACACACACACACCGAAGACTTTTGGACTGGTTCTGCTTGCTGGCTTTTGCATTTGTAATTTATAGTTCTGGACTTGTTGTGTGCTATAGCAAAAACATTCCCCTTTGTTTTTGGATTTTCTGATTTATTGCTCTCAAACTCCCAAGATCATGTTAAAAGGTAGGTGTGTGGGGGCAGGGACTGGCGGGTGAGCATGCAGGCTAGAGATGGTATGACCTTTGTCAGTGGCAACTCTTCCAGCTGTGAGCGTGTGATCCAGTTGTCCTTTCCCAGAATGTCTTGTGAACGGTGTGGCATTGCCCTCAATTTACAACTGAGAAAACAAAGAACAGGTTAAAAGAAATGCCTGAAGATGGTTCTGGATATTTCCTTTTTCAGAAGGAGAGTTTGTAGGCATAATTGGTTCATCACATACTTTGTTGTTTCTCTGCAATAGTTTCTTCTTTAAATTCAACATCGCATGAGACATATATTTTTTTAAAGATTTATTTTTATTATTTTTTTATTGGAAAGGCGGATATACAGAGAGGAGAGACAGAGAGGAAGATCTTCCGTCCGATGATTCACTCCCCAAGTGAGCGCAACGGGCCGATACTATGCCGATCCGAAGCCAGGAGCCTCTTCTGGGTCTCCCACATGGGTGCAGGGTCCCAAGGCTTTGGGCCATCCCCGACTGCTTTCCCAGGCCACAGGCAGGGAGCTGGAAGGGAAGCGGGGCTGCAGGGATTAGAACGGGCGCCCATATGGGATCCCGGGCGTGCATGGCGAGGACTTAACCACTTGCGCCACCACGCTGGGCCCGAGACATATTTTTTTTGTTGTTGTTAGGAATCTCCCCAATTTAGACTCTGTGTTAATTTCTCAATGAGGGTCAAACTGTAATGGTCAAGCCTTTTACCAAAAATTATTTCAAAATTGTCTCTATTATTCTGAGATGCATTTTGTAAAATTTATTGTCACAGTTAAGAAATAAATATGAGGGAGTCAGGCCTATGGCACTGGTTCTTTTAAAATTCTTAATATGAATAATTTGCATATTTTCAACTTTTGGTAGCAAAATCCAAGAAAATGGGGCTTTGAGTTGAAAAGTATGTCTTCCATTAGTAACAATTGTTTCTCTTTGTTAGAATGTTTAATTACACTTACCCAAGTTTGGGATTAACTCACTGAACTGCTTCATTGAATCATGGTATTCACAGAAACAGAATTTGATTTGTCAAAAAAAAAAAATAGGTTGTGACTTTCTGTCTCTTTTCTTTTACTCGCTTTAGGTATGACTTTGTAGAGGTTGAAGAACCCAGTGACGGCACCGTGTTAGGACGCTGGTGTGGTTCCGGTGCTGTGCCAGGAAAGCAGATTTCTAAAGGAAATCAGATCAAGATCAGATTCGTGTCTGATGAGTATTTTCCTGCTGAACCAGGCTTCTGCATCCACTACAGCATTGTCGTGCCAGTAAGTACGACGCTGCGTCCCCTGGCTTGATGAACGCTTGTTTGGGTCATCTGTTAGCTTGCGCTGCTCCTGCCATCAGATGTAAGAATCCAAAAGCCAAAAGCAATAACCTTTCTCTGGCTTAGCTCATTTTCCCTATACATATTGCTGTAATATTTAATTTTCCAATAATATTACTGTATTATAAGTAACTTATAAATGTTGCTATTACTGATCACTCACAATCTTAATTACCTTGTCAATGTAATGAGATAAACCATTTCATAACATTTATGAAATTATCAACTTGTATTTTAGTGTGGATGGAAAATTACATAGAGGTTTTCACTTTAGGACAATTTGTGCTATGTGTCTTTTATGTAGGGATCACTTGGCAAAATTTGACTCTATGCTGTCATTTATGATTTAATTTCCAATTTGAGTCATAGTAATAATAAACATAGTTTTAGTTTTCTAAAATATATTGACAGTCCTTTGATACGATACCTGTATTTTGTTAAATTTTACTGTATTTATATGTGTAAGAATCTCCTGTCCTACTACAAAATAGAATGCAAAAACTAAAATATGTATATGCTACCACTCAGAATTTTTTATTTTCAATTTTGTAACTGCGTGAGTTTTCTCGTTGTGTGATTCCACGCGTCTTCTGGATTCAATGAAAGCTGTAAAGGTAAAAGCAAGAGTATTTCTAGTGCCTTGCTCAGTTCTGGCCACATCATGTTCTCGCAGTGAATACAGTCAAGTGCTGCCATTTAGGTGCCCCAGCTTAGCTGACAGGATTAGGCGACACTTGTATTATAAATCTGTACCCGTATCAGATTCATAAGCCCTTGAATGAGACAGCAGCATCACCAGGATGTGGTCGCAGTGCCACCTTTCCCTTCTCTTGATGAGGGAAGAACCTCTGGCTTTGCCTTAGGCTCAGAAACTTGGCAGTTGAGCCCAGAGATGGCATCTGAAAGATAAAAATTAGCTGCACCATTAAACCAAATGCAGTACATATGTAAATGCAGTACTGAAAATGGTTTGATAAGTGGTGTGTGCAGATTGGACTGTTGTCAGCTCTCGCCACTTCCTTTGAGTCATCCGCCTGTTTGTTAATCAGTCTGTACTTGGCTGCACTTCATGGATTTCTGTAAAGAAATGGTACAGGAGCTATTATAATTAATCTAGATTTAGGAAAGCGGTAGGTTTGCGCAGGAAGAACATGAACATGGGGCCCCATGTTACCTGTTAGGCTCACTTGGTCATTTTAATGTCGAAGATGGCCTTGCGAAGACATTATTGACATGTACAGTTTACGATCAGGTAAGCGTTGATTGTTTGGCGTTTCGGTTTTCTTCGACAGCTGTCCCCTGTTTCTTCACCTGTTCTTTGTCTCGGTCCCACATGCCCCTGTCTCCTTCTGGTAGCCTCATTCATTGTGATCTTAATGACTGCCTGCAGGAGATGTGATGAATGGAACTGTGACAGGGCACCATGCATTGAAGCCTCGCAGAAAGCTTTGCGTTCTCATTGTATGTTTCCCCATGACATTCCTCCCCGCCTGCACTTGGCAGCCCTTCAGAGTGGGGCAGTGATCCATCAGGCTTATCTGTGTATCAGATGAATGAAAGCCTCAAGGAAGAACGTATGGCCCTTGAACAGCAGGCTGAGACGTTCCTGTGGCATTTGCTCAGGGGCAAGCGCTCCCATGAAACCCTCCATCATCTCTGATACTTTTGTTGTTTGCTTTTAGCCAGGGGTGAACTTCACATTAGCATACCTTGTAGTCTATCTCACGTCACGGGTCTCATTGCTCACAAAGCCACCACTGCCAAATAGCATCTTAACATTTACTGATCGCAATGAAATTTCACTCCGTAGTCACAGATGCATCAGAGGCACACAGCACCATGCCCTGCCTGCGGTAGCTGCTTAGTAAGGCTTCATAGAAATGGAGCTATTTCCCTGTGTTTTTGTCTGAAGCCCAGGTGGGGTGACACTTTGGGCTCACGTACCGTGTATTACCCTTGTTGCTGTCACAAAGATTCAAAAGTTGTGATGTTAAGAGTATTAAGCTTAACTGGCTGTCACATACTACTTCTTGGTAGTATTATACTCAGAGATCGAATTATAATATGGGGCAGTAGGTAAGTGTGACAACTGCCTGAAGCCCCGACTGTGGGTTTTCCTTCTTAGGGACTTTGGGAATGCCGAGTCTGGAGGCAAGCCGGGCTCCAGCCCTCGTGCACTGGCTCCTGTGCCAAGGGTTCAGGGGGACACTTGATGCCTGAGGAGCCATTAAGGAATGCATGACTGATGGTCCAAGTGGTTATTAATTATGCAGGTTACAGAGAACAAAGCAGCTCAGTGAATAGTGAAGGTAGAGGAAGAGAGAGTTAGGGAGGTATGTTTTCATCCCTTCTGGCAAATGCCAGTAGGTTCTTTCACTGTTAACATCCTGTAGGGAAGTCTTTAGTGAATGCCAAATTTGCTTTTACCTTCAGTTTTCAGAAGAGCCCAAACCAACTCTCAGGCAAAGCTTCAAATTCATCAGTTAAATGCTTAGGGGAATAAAAACAGCAGCATTGCTGAAAGAAACCTACTCAGACAAATGTCATAATCAAATTCTATGGGGAAAAAGATCAGAAGCAAAATATAGTGAAGATTTCTATACATTTTAAATCCTCGTAACAAATTCTGCTACTTAGTCAAATGATCATATTAAATTGGCTTGATGCGTGAGCATTTATATTATTTCAGAGTAAATCATTTCAAAGTAATTGAAGAAAGCTTTTCTCTTAGAATCTATTTTAGTCTTTAGAGAATGTATGTGTATATATATATATTAGTCTGAAGCACTTATGGTATGATTATCTTTTTATTAAATATACTTGTGAGTTTATGTATGGATTTTTGAGATCATCTGCCTTGTTACCCGGGCGAGGACGATTAATCCTGTCTTCTTTCCTGTTCAGTACTTAGCTTACAGAGTCATTCATAGATGACCTTTTCCATATTTGAGGTGCGTGGGTGCAGAGAGACATTCTGCCATGTGATAATTGATTGTTAGGACACATCCAAGGACTTCTGTTCCTTCGATTCTTTCTCCTTTAACTGCGACAGCAGAGTACGGTGCTCACAAACACACTGCAGTTTGCCTTCTGCTGTAAGGGGAAGCAATGTACAAGGGATGCATGAGTTAACAAATAAATGTCAGCTGGCCTTGTGGCAGCACAGTTTAAGCTTCTGCTTGCCACACCCAGACGGGCTGCTAAACTTGCTATCCATTCCTTGTGTACACGGCGCGGGCCGTGTAATCATGTCATTTCCTTTCCCCTTTTGGTTTTCCCTAGAGTTGTGTTATTTGGGTTTGCTTAGTGTTTCCACTGAGCCTTTGAATCACCCCGAGACTGCGCCTCTGATGATGTAAATCTTCTTCCTTAATGCAATCATCCTTGCTTTCCTAGGAGGTTCATCTTGGAGAAATCCCTTTAAGATCACAGTGCAACCTTCTCCTGGGGACCTCACCCTCCTTCCACGGTGTCGACTGCTCTTCTGTCCTTTTCTCGCAGGAGATGATTTTTCGGTTGGATCTTTCATCTTCTCTCCTAGTTCATTCCTTATTGGAGAAGGAAGCAGCACGTTTATAATTTTGCTAAGAAAATGGGGCATGAGAGGACTTGGGTAACTAAAAGTGCTGCTACTAAACCTTCAGACTCAAATGAGCATGACTAGGTGCACGATTCAAGGCATTCGAAGGATGTCCTGTCTGGGATTGTCAGCTGGATGGGTCAGTTGCTTGAAAATCCGCTACTGGCTGCAGCCTGTTTAATCAGAGTCCTGAATCCCAGTTCCCTTAACTGGGAGCTGAGTGTGTTAAAACAAACAATCTCTGCATTAAGTATGAAAGCTTCATCTTAACTTCCTCCTTAGCCTCCTAATCAGATCATATCACCATTGCCAGCTCTCCTTGGGTTTCCCAGCTCATGAATCATCAGCTTTATTCTGTTAGGGCAACAAATCTGAACAGAGAATGAGTCAGTCTTTTGCCAACAGGGTAAATAGAGTTGAAGAGTCTGTTGCTCCCATTAACACACTAGCCAACAGTCATGTTGTTGACTCCTCTGCCTGTGTCCCTTCTGTCTGTGCTGGGGATTGCTGCCGAACCCCAGGGCTTTTTAGATGTTCCTTCACAGCTATTCACTTGTCTCTGCATCAGACTGTCACATCCACCAATCCAGTGACCGTGTAGTAGCCTGCTTTCTAGTTGCCAAGATTTTATTGCTGTTGGCTCATTTCTGATTTTCTTTGGCCTCAAGCAATATGCATTTTAGAGAAAGAGCTTTACACTCACTCACTTCAGGAGAAAACACGGCGAGAAATGTCATCTTTTATTTCATTTTCACCTTACTAATAGAATTGTTCCTTCATTGTCTTTATTAGAAATCAATCTTACATTTTTCTGAACAGAGTGGAGGGATCAGCATTGCCATATAGCAGGAAAAGCCACAATTTGTGATGCCTGTACGCAACATGGTCACTGATTAATGTTGTGAAACCTTCACTCTTAATCCAACTTCTTGACAATAGCCTGAGAAAAGCTGAACTTCCTGCCCTTCTTATAGTGGACACAGATGAAGCTCCCAGCCCCTGGCTTTGGTATGTTTCAACCTTGGCCACTGTGGCCCTCTGGAGAATGAGGCACCAGATGTAACCAAATTCTCTTTTTGTAACCGAATTGCAAATGCATCTTTTAAAAATTATGTATTCAGAAATGTTACAGAAATGTATTAAGGACAGGGTATGTGCTAGATACTCTGCAATCAATTTCAAACAACATCTCCTCAATGACTTTCCCAGGTCAGATGAAATCAACTCATCCAAAATTGTTTTGAATGGTACTGTCTATGCAGTTATTTGTGCTGATGCAGAAGTGATGCATGCTCAAGAGAAACAATATTAGACATTGTGAAGTCTGGTCTTGATGCTGAGCTGTAACAGCAGACCCAGCT